GGCCAGGACAGAATGAGACATAGGCAAGTGTTTTAGCCCAGTCTCCCCAGGGCAATCTGCACAATGACCTGCTATACTCCTGAGCACACACAGTACAAGGTTTCGCATTGATAAGCTATCTGCCATTCAGATCTCAGTAGACTAGATAAGAGCGAATGACATAAGACTTAAGCGTGAGCCACGGCTTCTGTGCCCGCCCTGCAGCAGGTTTTCTAGAGGATAACGTAGAGGGCCAAGTAGAGAGGGTGATACTTCCAGCGACTTTCGGGTCTCAGCAGTCCCGTAAAAAGCGAAACTGGCTACGGATGCCAGAGGTACACCGGGTTGAATTGTGGGGACCCTAGTATTTTTTGGGAAAAAAAAAAAAAAAAGCAAGCAAAGCTGGGTAACGCTCCCAGTAACTCTTAAGTATTATTGAGGGACGCTGGACCCGGTTTCCAGCAGCTGAAGCTCCCCACCAATGGAATGGAGTCATCCACAGATAGGCCTCGATCTCGTAGGCTCTCTTACAGTCACGAGACTGAAGGTTATCGCAGGATGTTGCTGAAAAAAAAAAAAAAGGCTGTCCCACTAGCTGACGAAAAGCAAGCGGGATAAGAGCAGCCTCCTGGCTGCGGCTGGTCCCTAGAGTCATATCAGGGGCGCAGTCCCACTAGCAGAGAGGATTGGATGAAGGCCCTAATCTAGAGGTGTTTTAGGCAGAGATGCAGAAAAAGACATCAGTCTCAATTTCATTCACCTGTCCACAAACACGTCCTCATTCAGCCGTTGAATCAATCCTCTGTGCTACGGTAGTGGGGCCTCGCCACAGGTCAGGGAAAACAAAAGACAAAAGAGTTAATGTCAGGGTATCCCGACTATCAGGGCATCCCGGCGGCTACTGGTAGCGAGGAATATTCGATGCAGCACGTAGAAGCCACCTATTGGGATGCGGTCGATGATTCCACCAGCGGGTAGTCTTCTCTCCCATCACTGTTTTTTTTTTTTTTTTTTTTTTTTTTTTTTTTGAAAGAACACCCCCGTCCGTGTTAGTGCTGCTGATACGAGGGACTTTTTGAAGTGATATGTGGACGTCTTTGCGGTCAGATGCATTGAGGAGTGGCCATAGAGATTCGTTTAGGGGAAGTCCTACCGTGAGTAGGCCAAGTACCACAGCAGCATGGAGTTTCTTCAACGGCTGAAATCTGGTCGTTTTTGTGGATGTGTGCAGAAATGGCGTTGAGTTTTCTCAACTGCATGTCTCCACAAACACATCCAGATTCAGCCATTGAGGAAAACTCAACGCTGCTACCGTCTTAACCCGAAAACAAGGTACGTACCTTGTATTCAAGTTACCTCCGAAAAACGGGTTCTAAGAAATCGCTGTTAAATTTTCGAATAGAAGGTAGCTTCGAATACAAGGTACGTACCTTGTATTTGAGGTTTGCCATGTAACTGTCAGGTAACACTCCCTCTCTCTCTCTCTCTCTCTCTCTCTCTCTCTTTCTCTCTCTCTCTCTCTCTCTCTCTCTCTCTCTCTCTCTGTGTGTGTGTGTGTGTGTGTGTG